TCTACTTTTATAAATAGTAGAGTTAGGAAGTGATATAATTCATTAATTGTCACTATACAAAAATTAAGTAATAAGAGGAAGACCTAAACCTCAGTCATAGAATGGAATTATGATGATTTTCGATGATTCTTGACAACATTATAATCTTGCACATTGGTTATAAAAATTAAGATACATAATTTATTTATTTCATTATATTTTGATATTTTAAATTTCACTTATGTAGATCATTAAATTTTAATATGTAACATCAGAGTAGTCATATTTTGATGAATTTAGGATCCAAGATTTTGTTCTATGGTATCTTATCTCGTGTTTAACGAATTACAAACTAAATCTTTTTGGTTTTCGACTAATTATGAATAAGTGGCTAAAATTATACGCAAATTTCACTCATGAACATTGAACTATTTTGAGGTGATTGATTAATTAATTATGTAATGGTTTTTTGTGGTTTAAACATTGAGTCGTGGACTCTAGTTGCATATAATCATGCTGCTCCTTGTCTCGGTAAAATTCAATAAGAAAATAATTGTGACGTGTTATGTCGGAATCTTGATGCGTTTTCTGAAGGAATTTACTTAAATCAAGATTTGTGTCTATGCTTCCACTAGAAATTAATTGAAGTCTTTAATCGTTTTAAATCTGTGTTAAGTTTTGGTTTCATGATTGAACTCGAAACTGCGTTTCAGAGTGTCATCGTAATTGTGTTTTAATTCACTTATGTCCAAATTAAATTCGGGTTTTGTGCATCTACAGATTCTGGTACACGTGAGTTAGGGAAATCGCAGAAAGAACATGTTTTGACTGTTAGGGCTGATCAAAGGGAAATCCCTTATCTAGTTTCTTAATAGTTTTGTTTATTGTATTTTTGTCCTTAAATTTTTCAAAATTTACAAAATATTTTTAAATTAAAAACATTACTGGTACAGTAGTTATAAATTGTTATAAAGTGAAGGATCAGCGATGAGAGAGCGAAGTAGCAGACAATGGATCTGGGATCGTCGGAGAGCACAGAGCGGCAATCGTTGGAGAGGACAGAGCAGCAAACGGTGGATAGTTCAGAATAGTGAAAGGCGACATGATCAGAATCAAGGAGAAAGTAGAAGGATCAGGGATAGGAGTCAGATTCATGGTAGCTTGGACAGAGTCCTATACAATCAGGCATCTGTGTTTTACTTCACGAACTTCCCGGATCATTGGAAATATGAAGACATGTGGAGAATGTTCATGAAATTTGGAAGAGTGTATGCAATCTACAATCCAAACAGAAGAAACAGAGAAGGAAAAAGATTTGGGTTTGTGCGTTATTTGGATGTAAAGGATGAAAAGACATTGGAAAAAAGGCTGGATTAGATATGGGTCGAAAACCAGAAAATGAAGGTGAACATACCACGATTCAAGCAAGAGTTCAGTGAGAGGAAGAGAGTAATTGCTAGCATGGAAAAGGAGTATTACTCCATAAGAGACTAGCCAATGAAGAGTTCTCATTCATATGCCGAAGTACTTACTGGCAAAGAGACTCATCAACCAGAGAAAGGAAATGGGCTTATGGGGCCTCAGAGCCTCCGAAAGGCTAGGTTGCAAAACAGAAGGAGCAAACAAGAAACGAGAAGGAATACAATCCGAGAAGAGAAGACTGGGAATGGTTAGAAGGGTGCTATGTGGGAACTTTAAGATCATTGTAGCTAGCACCAGTAATCCAAGAAAGGCTATATATGGAAGGAATGTTTTCCATCAAAACAAAGACTATTGTTAAAATGGGTAATCTATTAAAATTTACATATTTTTCCGTAAGAATATCGGAATGTTATATTAGATACGTGTTTCAATGGGAGTCTATGAATGTATGTGAGTGATACTACCAAAGTGAATCATCTATTAAAATGCACATATTTCTTAGTAAGGATTTTGGAATGTTTACTTTTTGAAATTAGTATGTATGATTATATACCCAAAAAGGATGATTGTGCATATTAACTAAAAAAACTGTGAGTAATTAGCAAGAGTTCTCATTTTAGTTTCGTAGAGAATTTTTTGTTCAAAGGAGATTATTTTTTATGGGACCATTCTTATTAATTCACTTATAATAAAAACTTTTGAAGTTTAAGACAATTTAATATCCGTTGGTGTTATTAAACTATTATATCATTAAAATTAATTGATCTATTGGGATGATCGAACATGAATTACTAAGTTATGGAAAAAAATTACTATTTTCATATTAACACATGCAATATTTTGCCAAAATGTGATTATTATATGCACTAACTTGAAGTAGTACGTGGGAGGAATTAGTAAGGATTATGAGTGTTTATACATATTTACTAAAGAATGATTTTCTTACTAATTAATTTGTTAAGATTTAATTTTATAAATTTATTTAATTAACATAAAAGTATCAATAAAATAAAGTATATTTGTGTTTTGAACTCTCATTAGTTAAAAAAAATCATGCTATGGATTACACTACATCATGTAAAGTTTATCTTGAAAAGGCAATTTTACATAAACAAAGGTTTATAATTAAAATTATATTATCAATGTGTGATTAGTGTTAATTAGTGTATTTTTTAGATAATTCATATTTTGATTACACATGATTTGATTAAATTTGGAGATACATGTTTCTTAGCATAGTGGATTTAAATTGTACAATATTATTATTTTGATGTTCAACTAGAAAAATGGTAAAAGACATTAGCAATTATAATAA